TAACAAGATAGTTCACTCAGCCAAAGATTGTGCATAACAAGATAGTTCACCCAGTCAAAGATCGTACATAACAAGATAGTTCACTCAGCCAAAGATTGTGCATAACAAGATAGTTCACCCAGTCAAAGATCGTACATAACAAGATAGTTCACTCAGCCAAAGATTGTGCATAACAAGATAGTTGACTCAGCTAAAAAAGTACCCTGGAAAGCCTGCCCATTGGTTGAGATGGCGCTGCGGTCTTTGTTTGGAAGCTGTCTTTGGTTTGTCCAGAGGTAGCCCAGTGTAGAATGGAACCTCTTCTTCACTCTGTTCTTCTCTCTCTTCTGCTCAGCTCTGCCACAACTGGCCAGCAATAATATATACAGAGCTCTGAGCTTGCGTTCAACCCAGCTGAATTAGGCCAGGGACAACCACTTGTGTACCTGTGTCTACTGATTGAACCTGTTGTGTGGGTGGTTGGTGGGTGCACTAGTGTCGTTTGCTTCTTCTTCTCATCAAACATACATTGACCTTATTGTTCCTTCTTTTCTCTGTATGTAGTTTTGTTTTAGTAAGGTTTTACAGCGCTCCCAACTGCATAAGGTCATATGAGCACCAAGGGGTGTATGTCAACAGAGAAGTCCATACAGGGAATCAGACTTCCTCTGCTCACCTCTCTAGTCTCAACAGCACAAAGTCTGCTTCAACTATCAAGGCACCCCGGATATAGCGGGTCACAAGAGAGTGACAAACATACAAAAGAAGTAGATGAAAAATGACGATAGTAAGGATTAGGAATGAAAAAGCAGCAGTTCCCTGTTGTAGATCAGGCACAGTTATGAGTGTGACATTGATGAATCAGCCCATTTACAATTTACAATTCTACTGTGCATGAGAACTTGAGATGTTATTTGCCCCCCCCCCCCCTTTGGGAATGGCCTAAAGACACTTCAGTCAGTAGCACCACCCTTGGGTTTTTTCCTCTATATGGGACTCTGTAGCACCACCGTTACCACTTCCAGTAGCGTAGGTTCATACAGTGACAACTACCAGGAATTGCCCCAGTTTAGAACGCAGAAGCCATGGTAGAATTAAAAAACTTTTTTTTAAACCTTCACAGCTGAAGAAACACGCTTTTTTAACTTCCCAGAGGTTTATTGAGCATTCAGCTATCTTCTTAGAAAGACTGCCGTTGGTATTTTTACTTCTGTAAAGTGGCTCTGTTCTTTGGTTAGATTTGTTCTGTGTGTCGGCTGAGAAGGAATACTACGGCCTGTCGACTAAAGTACTCAAAATGTTCATCTTCTGCACTTAATACGACCTATTTTTATTGTTAGTGCAGGAAAAATCTGAGAAATACTAAAGCTGTTTTTTTTTTTTTACCATTGTTTCAAACACGAGTTCCTTGGGTGGTTGGCGGGTGCTCTGGTGTAGTTTGCTCCTTCTTTCCTATCAGACATCTGTTGTCTTTATCTCTTCTCCTACTTCTTTTGTGTTTCTTACTCTCTTGTAACACTTCTAATCTGTGGCACTTATATGACTTTATTGTGTTGCAAGTGCCGTAAAACTCTTACTAAAACGTATTAAACATGCGTTCCCCTGGTTCCTTAATAAAACTAAAACTTTTGTTTTGTCTCTCTGTCACCAACCCACGTGTTCCCTGGTTCCTTCATAAAGCTGTTGTGTCTCGTCTCACTGTCACCAACCCGCGTGTGTTTTCTCTGGTTCAGGCGGTGACAGCCTCGACCACTGTCTGTCCAGCCTGGCGCTGACCGCGGCCTTGGAGCACCGCGACATGTGGAGCTACGCCCAGCGTCTGCCGCATCTCTTCTCCGTCAACGGTCTCTTCTACAAGCAGGTGGAGCGAGACATGGGGCTGGAGCACGGGAAACACTGCACGCTGCCGCTACTGCCGGGGAAGGT